GTAGAAAACAATTTCCTAATGGGTAAAGGTTTAAACTTGGAAAAACAACTTTGGGAAAAACAGCTCAATGATGTAAATAGTTACCTGCCCAGTATAAAAAGGACAGGCTGTGAAACTAAAGTGAGACATTAATTCTTGGAAGTGTTCCTGTGTTTCTCGCATTCTTCTTTTGTTGCCAACATCGGCTCCACCTGAGGGAACCTCTGGACCTGTGGGAGCTGGTGTCCCACGGTTAAGAACATGAGCTCTAGAACCAGACTCCCTGTGTTTAAATCACAGCTCTACCATTTACCATTGAGTAACTTTGAATCTTTCTGAGTAACTTTGAATCTTTCTGTATTTATGCTTTCTTATTTATAGGTAGGGTCGAGAAGAGGATGTACCTTGGATATAATGGTCATATGAGATAATAGCCCTGGGAGTTTCTGACAGTATGTGCACATGGTGAGTGTTCAAGAAATCCACGTTATTACTCAATAGATTTCCTGAGACTTCAGCTGATAATTAGATGATACAGGTGTGGATACAGATATAAATATGGATATGGATACAATTATAGATATAGCTCATACATGCAGGAATCTCTGTAACTTTGACCTCCTCCCTTTTTAATTCCTCACGTCATCCATCATGGAAGAGGGACTCAGATAGCAATGCACAAAAGTTCTACTCATTTACCAAGTGAGAACTATGTTTTTCTTAAGAGTTTGGGTGACGAAAACTGGCAAGTTTGGAGAAGTAGAAAGGAGGGAGGGTGGCTGAGAGACAGAAACTAAACATCTGTTCATGTGCACTTCATGAAGACTGAAAAATGACTTGAAGAGACAATAAGGAAAGCCATTTCAAAAATCCTGTGTGCATACGTGTGTGTTAATTCCTCACACCCACTCATACACATACACATATATGCATTCACAAATATATACATATATACATATATTATCTATCATCTCTCTCTATATCTATATCTCAGTACCTTGGTTTGGCAAGCATAATTAGTTCCGGAAACGAACTACTTGTATTGCAAGACATCGCTCATTTACCAAGTGAAAATGTATTATTAAGTTGGAGCAAAAGTAATTGCAGTTTTTGATACACGCGTAATGGCCAAAACCGCTATTACTTTTGCACCAACCTAATAGAAATGTTTGCTCGTCTTGCGGAACACTCAAAAACCAAGTTACTTGCAATCCAAGGCTTTAATATGCATGGCCTAGCATGCTTACACACGTACAGGTTGTTTTGAGGATTAAATGAAATTGTAATTCATATTAGAAGCTTAGTAAAATTTTGGCACATAGGTACAACCCAACACATCATTAACAAAAGTGTGTGAGTAAACACAGCCGATTTGAATTCTCCCGATATCAGGTGGCATGGTGGATGATAACTATTCTGTTTCTTTCTCTGTGTATTCTGATTTTTTTTGCAACCAGTCTCCCCTTAGAAGTGAGGCAGCATAACATGGCTGAAAGAACAAACTCTGGAGCTGTTTGGACTAAACTTGAATCCTGGCGAACCACTGCCTTACACAGATGACATTGGGCAAGTTCATCTTTCTGCCTCATTTTGCTCATCTGTAAATTAGGGAAAATGGTCATAGTTCTCACACAGGGGTGTTGTGAGGATTAGACAAGTTAATACACACAAAAGCTGTCGCTGTTGTAGTTTGAAGCATCATCTGCTTTGATGCCTCTGGTAACCGTTACAGACAATGGACTCACAGAAAATATGCTCACATCCCTGATTTCATGCTCTCAGATAATGCCTAGTCCTTGGCCTTCTGTGGCAGCACTGGGTGATACACTGTGTTTTCCTGGAGTCTTGAAAAGTCCAGGGGCAGCAGGAGGACCAGGGCGCTAGGAGAGGGGATTATACCTCAAGGCATGCTCACCTGTGAGTCCCAGCAGTAGAGTCAGCAGCAGGCAAGGAGGAGGGTGGGGCCAGGAGGCAGGGGTGGTCATCCTGGAGGCCTGAGCAGGCAGTTCTGTCAAATGTGCGCTGGAGAACCTGGAACCTCTGCTCTGTGAGAGGAGTAAAGCCCCGCCTCCTGTGATACAAGAGGAAGGGCCTAGGATGAATTGAAATAGCTGTGACACAGTTGCCTGCTACTAGATTCTAGACAGTTCCTGCTTCTAGATTGTGAAATACTGTGTTGTTGGAAAAGTCATGATGCATTTTTCAATGAAAAACATAGAAAAAAATACGTCATGACTTTTCCGACAACCCAATAGAATCAGGCAGTGAAAGCAGCTACAAAGTGAAGAGTTATTCATCTTACGATTTCAGAGAGACTTGGACAGACCTACAAGAAATAGTGCTTCCTCTCTGCCTGGGGCCTCTGCTCTCTACTGGGCTGCTCACCCCATCTGAGGTCTTCATGGTGATGCCCCATTTGGGAGCCCAGGCCAAGAAGGGTCTGGGGTTGTGAGTTGTGTCCCAAATTCCCAAGTTCAGGATCCTAGAATGTGGGTGGCCTATGGCCTCATCTGCTCCAGCCTCACCAAGAGCTACTCAGCTGGAGGAAGAGGGTTCACCAGGTCTCAGTGTTGGAGGGAACCAGGTCTGCCCCTGAAATGACTCCTTATTCTAATTGTTTTGGTGGACCTGGTAATACTTAGCCCAAATGAGAGTGCAATGTGGACCTCAGTAGTATTTTAAGTGCCAGCATCCAACAAAAGGAATCCTATCCTGACTTCTTTTAGGAGAGGAAGTGAGTTGTATGACTCAGCAATTACACTCTTAGGTGTTTATGTCAGAGAAGTGAAACTTACATCCACACAAAAATCTGTACAAATATTCATAGCAGCTTTCTTTGTAATAGCAAAAAACTGGAAACCAAAAAGGTCCAATAATAAGTGTACAGTTAGTCACACTGTGGTGTGTGGTGCTTCCATACAAGGAAATACCACTCAGCATGAGCAACAACTTGTAAGTGTCTCGAAAGCATTATGTTGAGTGAATAAAGTCAATCTCAAAACATCACACACAGTATGATTCCACTTATATCACGTCTCGAAACTATAGGATAGAGGGCAGATTGACATTAGCAGAGGTCAGGTACGGTGGGGATGGGGTCACTATAGAAGGTGAGCACAGGGGGACCTTTATGGTCATGGGATTGCTCTGCATCCTGGTCATGGTGGTGGTGACACCAACACACACATGAGAGATCAATATAGGCAAAGCTGGGAATGTTACAGGATTCAGCTCTTAGGCCCATCACATGGTCATTGTAATGTAGACACTGACTATTCAGTTATCCAAAATTATAATATAATGATATCAGGGTGATGGGGAACAGAAAGTGTGCATGTGAGGCATGAGGTCAGGAGCAACAGAGCCTATACCACACCTTCTATTGTGAAAAGTCCACAGTAATGCCTCGGAGTGAGAAATCAAGAATGCAACAGAATAAACAGGGGTGCATATATTTTTTTGAGTTAGTGTTTTGAATTTCTCTGTATAGATACCTAAGAGTGGAATTGCTGGGTCATCAGGTAGTTCCATTTCCAGTTTTTTGAGATACTTCCATACTGATTTCCACAGTGGCTGCACCAATCTGCAATCCCACCAACAGTGCACGAGGGTTCCCTTTTCTCCACAACCTCACCAGCACTTGTTGTTTGTTGATTTATTGATGATTGCCATTCTGATTGAAGTGAGGTGGTATCTCACTCTTGTTTTTATTTGTATTTATCTAATGATTAGTGAGGTTGAGCATTTTTTTCATGTGTCTGTTGGCCATCTGTATGACATAGAGAATATAATGGTAAGTAAAATAAGTCAGACTGGGAAAGACAAATACAGCATGCTCTTATTTATATGTGGAGTCTAAAGAATAGAATAAATGAGGAAACTAATCAGAAACAGTCTCAGAGACACAGAGAAAAAGCTGAGGGTTGCTAGATGGGAGGGGGTGGGGATGAGGGAGAAGGTGAGTGGATTTGAAAGCACAGTTGGTAACCACAAGATTGCCATGGGGATACAAAAGACATTTTCAGGAATATAATCAATATCATTGTAAAGATTTTGTAGGGCATTCGATGGGCACTTGTCTTATTAGGGAGACCACTTCATGGACAGTGTAGATGCCTGACCACTGCGGTGTACACCTGAAGCTGAAGCTGAATAATATTGAATATCAACTACAATTAATATATATATATATATATATATATATATATATATATATATCCACAGAATGTGGAGTACAACATAGGGAATAGAGTTAATGGAATTGTAACAGCTATATACGATGTCAGATGGGTAGTAGATTGGGGGAGGAGGGTTATCACTTTGTGAGGGGTGTAAATGTCTAACTATTACATCGTTTTGTACACTTGAAACTAAAAAAGAAAAAGAAAGAAAGAAAAGAATGCAATAGAAGCATGCTACATGAAGATGAGGTATGGCAATAAAATTTTAACAATTCAGCTGAAACAGTTGAAAATGGTTCCCCCTTGGAGGTTGGAAATGGTGGTAGTTTAGGAGGACTCCAGTTTTCATATGTAGAATTTTTATAACTATTTGTCTCTTAAAACACCTGCATATGTAACTCTGATAAAGCTGGAAATAAATTCTGGATAATTAGTATTGTAAGAGTTGCAAATAAAAAGAATGCCCATACTATTAGCACTAGGAAGGGTTTTATAAGCTTGCTGGTATGAGTGTTGATCAAATCAATTAACATTCTAAACAGTAGCCCCAAACCCAGAAAATAGTAATTAAAAATTTTAACATTCCACAAATATAAAGTGTCTTTAACAGCTCTAATTAGAGATGCATAAAACCATTATGGGGGAAAACATGTAAGGTTGTGAATTGAAAACCATAAAAGAAAACATAAACAGAGGTGTGTCATGTCCATGAATGGGAAAACTCAATATTAAAAATATATCAGTTTGCCTGAATTAATACATAACTTTAATGCAATCAAATAATAATCCTTAAAGGGGTTTTCATGAAACTTGACACAGTCATTCCAAAACGTGTTTTGAACCAGTAACAGCCGGGTAATTTGAAAAAACAAGAAAATGTATATAGCTTTGCCTAAAAAGATATCAAAATTATTATAAAGCTATTCTAATTAAAGCAGGGTAGTTCTGATAGAGAGATAAACATGTAATCAATGAAACAGCTCATCAAAAGAACCACATATTGTATTTATGGAAATGTGATATATGGCAAAGGACACCGTGCAGATTCTTGGGTGCTGGGTAATTTATCCTTGTAGAAATAAAACAAAAGATTCTCATGACCTATAATAACACACTCCAGAGAAACACAGCTAGGTCAAAGGCATAAATAGAAAGAGCAAAACTTGATCAAAAATTGAAAACAGATTTTTATATAACAAAAGCTCCCAAATGATACAAACACTGCTGCTTTGCCGACCATACTAGAGGAGCATATGTGACAAGGAAGTGAAGATAAGAATGCTCACTGCGAAGTTGTACTAGCAAAACATTAGATATGAGAAGAATCAATAAATTATAGCATATCTTACAATAGCAATCTTTAGAGCTGTGGAAAAGTAATACAGTGGAGCTACATATATAAACATTAAACACAAAAACTATGTTAAGCATAAAAAATAAAATTCCAAAGTGGTGTATACAGTATAATAGCATTTATACAAAATTTGAAACATGGAAAGTAATATTAAATATTGCTTAAGGATTTACACATATGTTATAAAAGTATAAAATCATGCTAGAGAATGATAACACCATATTCAGGACAGAATTTTACAAAAGAACAGAGAACATAAGACAAAATGTTACTATTTTGTAAAGATAGGATGGTAGGACCATTGATATTTCTTATATTATTTATTATGTATTTAAGAATAGAAAAATGCTTATTCAACTTAGTGATTTCAAATATATACGTGTTAAAATGAAATCACACTTGCAAAAACTCTGGATAAAAGTAAAATGCTCTGAATATTAAGGGTTGTTCACGACCAGGGCAGGAAAGAAACCTGTTGTCTTATCTTCTTGATTCTCTTTTGGGTGGAGGCAGGGCCAGTTTGAAGCTCAATGCACAGGGTCCAGACATGCCCGAGGCCCCATGACCAAAGTCCATCCTTAACTCAGCTTTACCATCAGAGAGAAGGGCCATCAGGAGGGTGTGTGAAGGGAGCATGTCCGTGGTGGAAGTGGGTCTGGCAGAGTGGAGGGCAGGGGTCTTGAGTAACCTGTAGGTCTTTGCAGCTTCTCTCTACTTGAGCTGCTTGGAGAGGGCAGAAGGCAACGTATTACAGGGCAGGCATGAGCTGTAGGAAAAATCATTCATTCACCAATTCATTCATTCATAAATTCCACAAACATTTATTGAGCACCTGCTAAGTAGCCGCCACTCTCTTTGGCCTATGTTTGACGTGCAGATCAGAAATAAAGCTCTTAGTCACTACACCCCAACACCTCTCTCTGATATCTGAACTTACTTACATTCTCCTTTGCCACTTGTTAGCATCTCCAAGTCCCTCACATTGGGTCTAGTAGCTCATTTTGCCATTTTTTCACTTATTCATTCCAAAGATATGGCATATAAAAACTGAAATATATAATAGTTTGTAGGTGGACTCTTTGGAATTTTGGTCTCAGAGTTTTGACCTTTATTCACCTCTACACCTGGAACCACTATCCCCAGGAACCCCAGGAACTCAATTTGGAAACCTTCAATCTCTAGGGAACTATACAATGTGTAAGAATTGGAAGCCTCTGAGCATTTCAAAGACATTTAGAAAAAATAAAAGTATTCACAACCCTCTCATGAGGGTGAATCAGGCTTCTGGGGACCATGTTACTACATGGGTGCACCCTGGATTCCTTTTGCTTCCCCTGACCTTTCTCCCTGAAAACTATGGCCTGCCCCCAACTTACCTGTTAGAGTTTCCACCACCTGTAGATGTAGGTGACTGTGAAACTTGTCACTAATAGCACCTTTAAGCCCAGGAGGACAGCCACAAAGATAACAGCAGGTGCCTCTGGACCTATGAACAGAAGTAGATAATGGGGCTCTGTGAGTTTAAATACCTCAGTCCACTCAGGAGACAGAGGTGACCCATCTGCATCCAAAAGTGGAGGCGAGTTTGCCTGGGCTCCCATTGGGCTTGCAGGTGGCGCAGGCTTCTGTGGACAGTATGAGGTTGGCCCGGATGGGAGGCTGTGCCTCATGTTGCACCTTACAGGCGAGAACCCGCTCAGACCCCTGCAATGACGCGTTCACCAACTGCAAGCTTTCCAGGGTATAGGTCCCATCACTATTCTGCTTGGGTGTGGGTTGCTCAGCTCCCTTGCACATATGGCAGTTCTCCAGCCAGGTGGATGCACACTCTATGGGTAGAATCTCAGCACGTGGCAGGTAATGGCCACCAAGTCTGAGAAGGTTGAAGACTGAGACACTGTCACTGCAGGCGCAGTTGACACAGCCCAGAAAAAGCAGACAATTACTACAGGAAGTCCACTGTGGGGGCCTGGGAGTCCTTGGTGAGAGGGTCATCTTCCCCGGATCTGCCACAGAGAAGGACTGACGTATTGTTTATCAGATACGTGCATGCGTAAATGCATGATGAGTGAGAGGATGACTGCTGCATGGGTGGAGAATAAATGGGATTCTGAATGGGATCATACAGCCTACCCTTTTCTTTTTTTCCAAATTGGCCATCTCGTCACAACAAGGTTACAGCATGGGTTAAATTTGAGGGCATTATGTTAGTGAAATAGGCTAGTCACAGATAGACAAATACTGTATGGTTCTACTTATACGAGGTGTCAAGAGGAGTCATACTCAGAATCTACCCCTAGAGGGACCAGTAGGTCACAGCCTTGTCAACCCATTTTAGACATCTGATCTCTAGAACTGTAAGATGATAAATTTGTCTTGTGTTAAGCCACTAAACAGGTGGTTACAGTGGCAATAGGTATCTAATTCAGGGAGGCAAGAACATTTTAGAAGGACACATGAGATTAAAGGGACAGGTGTGATTTATAGTGCCTAACTTCTGTGTGGAAAAGGTAAAAAAAGACAGAAGTGTTATTTTGCAAATCAGTGATGAAGGGAAAAAGAAAAAAAAGAGAAGAAAGGGAAACTTAGGGTCCTGGAATGCAAAAGAATCCAAAAAATTGAAGAGTCAGAATCTTTCTCCCACTATCAAAACCAACTAATAAACCAAAAGCTCTGTTAACATACCTGGATGATGCTATACTGACAGAGAATGGTCCATTAAGATAGAAATATTGTAAAACACCCAATAGCATAAACGTGACTAAAAAGATGTGCATCTTCACACCAGCCCCATCAGACTGGAACTGCAGTGGCTGGAACCTTCAGTCACCAGGGAGGACTGTGACATCCCAGTACAGAGGGTCACATAGACACCTAACACTGCTCCAGCCAGCCAACCTAGATTACCCAGAAAACCATTTTCTGCCTTAGTACTTAGCAAACATGTCAGCTCATGTACTCTGAGAACAACCAGAAGTAACCGCCCTGTTCTGAGCTCCAGCAAGATGAAGACTCCAGGGCAAATGCAAGCTGGTCCAGACAAGGTGGTGGAGACTCACCTCTCCTGCTCTCCCTGTTCAGTACAACTCTGACCCTTAGAAATGACACCAGGTACAAGCAGAGGAGGACCTTTAAAAGAGTAAAGGAAGGCAGAATGGCAAGGGACCTGAGGCCCAGAGGGAGGACACAGCATCCAGGCATCGCAGGTCCCACTCTCCTAACTCCCCAGGCGCAGAAGGCAACCCATGTGTGGCATTAGAAACAAGAAGAGTCTGAAGTAGTAATGTAAGTGCCCACCTCAAGAAGTGAGAAAAGCAGGAACAGAATCAACTGAAATCAAGCAGAAGGAAGGAAATAATAAAGGAAAGAGGGAAAAGTAATCAGTGAAACTGAAAACAGAGAAAAAAAGAAAATCACTGAAACTAAAGCCGGGTCTTTGAAAAGATCAATAAAATTGAAAAACTTCTATCAAGATTGAGGAATGAAAATGGAGAAATGACACATTTCCTATATGAGGAATGAAATGGGATATTACTACACCCCCTGCAGATATTAAAAAAATAAGGCAATAATAGGAACAATGCTACAGGCTGACATTTGTGATTATTGCTGGCCCATTGTCACAAATGAGGAGACAAAGAGCTGTGCTGTGGCCACTCACAGTCACTTGGGTGCCTTGTTCAGACTCAAACTCCACACACTCAAGGATTGCCTTCTGGAATTTCAGAATAGTAGGTTTAGACACCTGCTCATGCATAATCCAAGTCAATAAATCAACTAATAAGTGTATGCGAGGATGTGGAGAAAAGGGAACCCTCATGCACCATTGGTGGGATTGCAGATTGGTGCAGCCACCATGGAAAACAGTATGGACTTACCTCAAAAAATTGAAAATGGAACTACCTCAACCCAGCAATTCCACTCCTGGGTATCTAACCAAAGAAATCCCAAACACTAATTTGAAAAAATATATGCCTTCCTATGTTTATTTCAGCGCTATTTACAATAGCCAAGACTTGGAAACAACTGGAATGCTCAACGATAGATGACTGGATAAAGAAACTGTGGTACATGTATACAATGGAGTATTTCTTGGCTATAAAAAAGAATGAAATCATGCCAGCGAAGTGGCTCAAGTTGGTTAAGAGCGCGAGCTCTGAGCAACAGGGTAGAAGGTTCAAATCCCACATGGGCCAGTGAGCTGCGCCTGAGCTGAGCTGCTGCCGAGCTGCCAACAGGTGGCAGGATGGCTCAGTCGGAGAGAACATGGCAGGTTCGACTCCCGCATGGAATGGTGGCTACGCCCACCTGCAATTAAGATTGAACACGGCACCTTGAGCTGAGAGTCTATGAGCTGCTGACAGGCGGCCGGATGGCGAATGAACTTGGAGCTGAGCTAGCTGCGCCTTCCACAACTAAGATTGAAGGACAACAACTTCGCTGTTTCCTCTTCCCTGATTCCCCAACACTGTTCTCCTTCCCCAATTCCCCAATAAAATCTTAAAAAAAAAATTAAATCTTACCATTTGCTACAACATGGATGGACCTTGAGAATATTATATACTCAGAGAAATAAGTCAGACTGAGGAAGACAAATACCATATGATCTAACTTATATGTGGAATCTAAAGAACAAAATAAATGAGCAAACAAAACACTCAGAGATACAAAAAACAACACCAAAAAACTGTTGGTTGCTAGATGGGAGGGGAAGGGGATGGGGGAGAAGTGAAGGGAGTAGAAAAACCAAATTAGTAGACACAATATAGTCATGGGGATATGAAATACAGTATGGGGAATATAATCAACATTGTAAGGTGCCAGATGGACACTGGACTTATCAAGGGATCACTTCATAGACTGTGCAGATGCATGACCAATGCATTGTACATCTGAAGCTGAAGTAGAATAATATTGTATGTCAACTATAAGATAGATATAGATATATAGATAGATAGATATGGTCATGGGAGGTGGACTATAGCATACAGAAGATAGTGGTATTGTAAAAGCTATATAAGATGTCAGAGGGGTAGTAGCTTGGGGGAGGGGGTTATCACTTTGTGAGGGGTGTAAATGTCTAACTATTATGGTGCTTTGTACACCTAAAACTAACAAAATAAAGTAAAACAAATGACTGAGGTAAAAAAAAGTCTCGGATGCAATGGAGACCAGGCAGCAGGTAGAAAGAGCAAGGAAAGGGGGTGGGCTGACACGGATGGTGAGCGCAAAACTGTTAGGTGAAGAAAGCCAGAGGCAGGACGCTGTGAACAATGATCTCCCGCCCTCCCTTCAAAATTCTTCCTATCTTTAGACTTCTATATTATTCTATAGTAAACACGAAATAACACATAACTTTTTTAAAAAGAAGATAAAATGTAAGTAGAAGTGGAGTGGAGGCTTCACGCTGGGTTTCACCTGTGCCCTGGTCCTTTGGGTGGCCAGAGGTCTCCAGGGTAAGGTGTTTGGTGACCGCCGGCTGCCCATCGTGCTCCACCTGGCAGGTGAGCACCACCTCCTCCCTGTGGGCAGGTAAATTCACGAGGAGCCAGCTCATCCGGTTAAAGGTTCCATCCTTGTTCTCTGTGAGGGTCGAGGCCATTTCTGTTCGGGACAGGTTTCCGTTCTCCAACCAGGTCAGCTGTAGGCGCTGGGGGTAGAACTTCTTCACCTGACAGGCAATGACCTTCACCTGGTTCCCTGCCACAGGGTGTTGGGTAACCTCCATGATGGGCGGAACTGAAACAGCACAGGCAGAAGCTCTAACCTCATGGAACAGACAGATCACAGGGGAGGGCTCCATCACTTAGCTCCCCCCACCACAGCAAGGGGTCACCCAGGACACTGCCAGGCATACAGCAGGTGCTCAAACACTGAGGGTGCTCCTTGCATGTGAATAAAATATTTAAGCACAGTGTCCTGAACACAGTAGGTGCTCAAGTACTGGTAGCTCCTATTAGGGTCAAATGAGGGAAATCAACAAACACAGGCCCCAGCATGCAGTGGGGATGGACTAACTGTAGCGAAATGAATGCACTCACCAAGCACATAGGGGCTTGGCTATAGTAGGTGCTCAGTAAAGATTTGCTTTTGGTAAAGCAGATGAAGCTACTGAGCACAGAGATTGGCTCATAGTAGGTGTTCCCTGGCAACTGCTGCCAGTGAACAGAAAGGAGTGAGCACACATCTGGGTACTTGGTGATGGGAAGAACTGTTAAGACTATTCCAAGAAAAACAAAGTCTGGAGTACAGAGCAGGGGGAGGAGCCGGCTTGGAGGTTGGGGGCCAGGAGTGGGCTTCTCTGGGTGGGAGGGGATCTACCTCGGATGGTCTCAGACAAGTTGGCAGTCCCACGAAGAGGAGGGCCCCCCTTCAGAGTGACATGGACCACCTCGCAGACCACCTGAGAGCGAACGTCCCCCGGGGCCAGCACCACTGTGGCTGTGCGGAATACGCTGTAGGAAGCGCTGTCTCCCTCCGGGTACACTGTGGTCTGGGAGGCTGGGAGCTCATTTCCATCTTTGAACCATTTCAGGACGATGTTTCGGGGGGAGAAGCCATGGGACTCACAGGTGAAGCTCACTGTCTGCCCAGGTAGGGCCCTCACCGTGGGGCCTGATACCATGGGGGGAGAGGGTTTGGCTACAAAAGAACATAATAAACAATAAATACCATTGTGATTATCACCAGTAAGGATAATCATGCAACACTGTTACAAAACTTCTCATTATTATTTTTTAATTCTTGTAATAATGCTAAGAGGCCGTTGTCATCACCTTCATCTACAGAGGAAGACACACAGGTCCTCGGAGGTGAACTCTGAGTAAGGGGCAGGGTCAACATGCAATTCCAGGCCTGAGTTCAAAGTCCACTTTCTTTGCAGGTGATTTCCACCAGTTTGGACGTAGGATGAAAATTACTGATCACACTTTGTATTAACTGTTCCTAGCTGGCTTCCAATCCTCACAGATCCCTAATGGGACTGTTATTACCAGCACTTCCCATAAGGGGAACCTGAACACTGGAGGGAATCTGAGACTTGCCACGACCATCGCTCACTGAGGATCTGCTCTCTCACCAGGCTCACTGCATCCTGATACCATCCTGCAAAGGGTGGTGTGATTATCCACTTTCTGCAGGTGAGAGGACTGTGGCCCAACAATGGGTACTGGGTGACAATTTTGAAATATCACCTTGATTTAGGGCGCTACTCTGCTGGATGACCCAGTTCCTTTCCACAATCCTAAACAGAGTCCATGATTATTCCCATTTTATAAATGAGAAAACTGAGGCAGAGAGAAATGAAGCGACTATCTCCTCACCACACACTGTGTCCCAGGGATATTTCTTGGGGGTCCCCCAAAATTTATGTGTGTGAAGAGAACAAGAGCCCCACCTTCACAGGCTGACACTGACCACTGCCCTCCCCTTATCTCTCTGGGACTCTTGGTTTCAAAGTGCCCAGACCTGGGGACCCTGTAGCTGTAAATGAAAGACGTGGGCTTCTGACAACTGATTGTAGAATACAATCTCTTGCACATGAGGGGCCTCAGGCAGCCTCTCAAAAGTGGCTCTCCCTCCTCATCCTCACTCTGTAGACACAGGAAAGGGGGAGCATGGTGGTGCTGGCATTGCAGTGGTCCTTCTCTGCTCTATCAAGGCTACTGTCTCCAGACTGCACCTATAGGCTGCTCAGTGAAGGAAAAATACCACAATGAAGGGGATAAAGATTCCAGAAGGCCTACAATTTTTTTTTTAAGATTTTTTATTGGGTAATTGGGGGGATGGGAACAGTGCTGGGGAATTAGGGGAAGGGGAACAGACAAGTTGCTGTCGTTTTGTTCTTCAATCTAGTTGTGGAGGATGTTGCTTCACTGGCCCAAGTTGGCACCATCATTGCGCTCTTCCCAGGTGAGGCAGATCAGTCGCCGGCTTCTGGACGGCCGCTCACTGTGGCTGCTGGCCATTCACGCTGGCTGCTGGCTACACATGGTAGCCCATGGCAACCCACTGCCACAGGGACTGCAGCCTACGCCGTCGCCAGCGACTCGTGGCAGCCCAGCTCCAGGTTGAGCTGTTGTTCAGCATCTTAGCTGTAGAGGGCAGTGTCACTGGCCCTCATATGTGGGATCCGAACCGGGGCCCTCTGGCATCCCAAGCGAGTTCTTAACCATCGCACCGCTCGGCCGGTCCAGGCCTACAATTTTTTTATTTAAAGTGTAGTTGGCATATAATATATTAGTTTCAGGTGTGCAAACTAGAGATTTGACATTTATATACCATACAATGTGATCACTACAGTAAGTGTAGTAACCAAGTAACCATCTGAAATTGTGAAAAGTCATTATGATATTATTGACTGTATTCTCTGTGCTGTGCACTACATACCTGTGGCTTTTTTATTTTATAAGTAGAAGTTTGTACCTCTTATTCCCCTTCACCTTTATCACCCATTCCCCAATTCCCCTCCCTTCTGGGAACCATTAGTCTGTTCTCTGTAGCTGTGAATCTGTTTCTGTTTTGTTTCTTTAGAATCCACATATAAGTGAAATCATATGGTGCTTGTCTTTCTCTGTCTGACTAATCTCACTTAGCACAATACCCTCTAGAACACCCATGTTGTTGCACGTGACAAGACTGAATACTTTCACTGAGCCATGTCTTTTGGGAACAGGATCAGCACATCATGAGACATTTGTGTATCTGTCTGATCTGGGACATAACGTACCCCTGCCTACCACATAAGGCTTTTTTTTTTTTTAATGAGGAACAGAACAAGATTTTAAGAGGAGAGGGTTGGAGCTTTCTCCAATCTCTGACAACCACAGTGAGGTGTGACAGAAGCAGGGGCCATGAGTCTGGGGCTTGGAGCAGACTGGGTGGGGAAGACTCAGATGCTTGGGCTTCAGTCTCGGATCCCCTACCTGTTCAGGTCAGGTCCCCTCTCTGAGCCTCAGTGTCCTTATCTGGCAAAAGGGAGCAGATGACCCCTCCCCCCCCAGCACTGGTTATAAGCAGTAAAAGCTACGAGGAAGACACAGCATCTGGCACGCTGCTGCTCCTTAGCCCCCTCCCGCATCCCTGCTTTCTCACCCAGGGCATCATCTGGGCAGGCAGCTAGGGGTAGAGGAACAATAACTTTACCAGGAGGCAGCAGATATGAGTGGCAATGGTGCCACTTGCTAGCTGTAATTGCCTAGGCAAGGGATGTACCATTGGGAACTCGTGCAATACCTGCAAAATCAGGATAAAGTCACCTTCTCTATGTCCAAGGGTGGTGGGGAGACTCGATTGCTGAAACAACTAGGAGGAAAATTTGGCAATATCACACAAGTTTAAATTCATGTCTCCTTTGACCTAGCAAAGCCAATATCAGTGGGCATCTACCACTTGAGCAGAGTGACGCATGGACAGGGTTATCCACTGCAACTGTGTTTTATGGCCTAAGGTTGAGAACAACTTATATCCATCAACAGAAGAGTATAAATGAATGATTCTATCTCCATACGCTGCAGTATGTGCAGCTGTTGAAACAGTGGGGAGTTCTAGGTGCTGCTATGGAGGTTTGATTTGGGGTAATGGGGCTGAAGCTTGGGACAGGTTCCCAATCACCTCGGGCCTCAGGGTCTGATGTGAAGGGCATCTGAACCTGGCAGAAACCAATAACAAGGCAAAATACAGGCTTTCTGTCCAGTGATTTGCTGTAATACGCTTTTAATTTAGCCTTCCTGTACACCAAGCTCTTTAATGGAAAGGGTGTCTGTCTCTGGGGCAGGAGGAAGCTGGCCTGAAATCAGATGGGGTTCTGGAGTAATCACCTCACCAATGGCTCTGTGACCATGGACAAGAACCCTGTCACTTCCTTTTTTGTTTGTTTTGTTTTTGCTTAAAACAACACACATTTATTATCTTACAGTTCTATAGGTCATAAGTCTGCTATGGGTCTCACCAGACTAAAATCAAAGTGACAACAGGGCCAAATTTCCTCTTTTAAGGTTCTAGGGGAAAATCCTTTTCCTCCTCATCCAGCATTTGGCAGCGTTCTGTTCCTTGTGATTGTAAGACTGATATCCTGCTGACTTGCTGTCTGCCAGCTGAGGGCTGTTTCCAGGTTCTAGAGGCTGCCACATTCCTTGTCTCATGGCCCCAATAATGACTGATCGAATTCTCACACTGAATTTTTAAAAATATTTTTTATTAAATATAGCTAACAATATTATATTAGTTTCAGGTATACACAGTAGTTATTCAACATTTATATACCTAAGGAAGTGACCACCATGGTAAGCTCAACAACCATCTGACACTGTACCACCCTGCCATAATATTATTGACTATATTTCCTGTGTTATACATTACATCCCCATGACTTATTTGTTTTAGAACTAGAAATTTCAACCTCTTATTCCTTTTCACCTTTCCCCACCCTTTTAAAATTTTTTCATTACACTTAACATTCAATATTATTTTATATTAATTTTGGATGTACAGTATGGTTATTGGCTATATTTCCCATGCTTTACTTTACATCCCCACGACTATTTTGTAATTACCAATTTGTATTTCTTAATCCCTTCCCCTTTTTACCCACTCCCAACTGCCACTCGTCTGGCAACCATCAAAATATTCTCTGTATATATGAGTTTGTTTTCTGTTTGTTTGCTTATTTTGTACTTTAGATTCCACATACAAGCAAAATCACATTGCATCTGTCTTTCTCTGTCTGACATACACCATTCAAGACATCACCCTCTAGGTCCATCCATGCCACCAAAGGTGGCAAGAACCCATTGACTTCGTGGATGAGTAATATTCCATTGTATATCTATATCTATATCTATATCTATATCTATATCTATATCTATATCTATATCTATATCTATATCTATATATCTGTCTATCTATCTATCTATCTATCTATCTATCTATCTACCTATCTACCATCTACTCTTTATCCACTCACCCACTGATGGACACACCCAGGCTGCCTTCACATGTTGGCCATTTTAAACAAGGCTTCAATGAGCATATGGATGCACATGTTCCCTTGAAGTAGCATTTTGGGTTTCACCGGATAAATACCCTGAACTAGGATTACTAGGTCTCTTGTGATAGCCTTTATTTTGTCTGGTATAACTATTGCTACCCCAGCTTTTAAAATTTATTTCCATTTTCATTAAATATTTTTTTTATCCCTTTATTTTCAGTCTGTATATGTCTTTTGATCTGAAGTGAGTCTGTTGTAGGCAGCATATGTAAGGGTCTTGTTTTCTTATCCATTCAGCCACCCTCTTTTGATTGGAGCATTTAATCCATTTCCATTGCAAGTAATTGTTGACAAACATATAGTTACTGCACCTGTATTATTCATATTATTTATTTTTATTTTTTTGTCTTAAAGAAGTCCTTGTAAGATTCCTTGTAATTCTGGTTTGGGGTTGGCAAACTCTTAGCTTTCTCTTGTCTGGGAAGCTCTTTATCTGTCCTTTGATTCTAAAAGATAGCTTTGCTGGGTAGAGTAATCTTAGTTGTAGGTCATTTCTCTTCATCACTTCGAATATTTTGTGGCAATCTCTTCTGACCTACAAACTCTCTGTAGAGAAAACAGCTAACAGTCTTATGGAAGCTCCCATGTAGGTAGATAACTGTTTTTTTAATTGCTGCTTTTAAGATTCTTTGTCTTTAACCTTTGGCATTTTAATTATGATGTGTCTTGAGGTGGGCCTCTTTGGGTTCATCTTGTTTGGGACTCTCTGCACTTCCTGGGCTTGTGTATTTATTCCCTTTTCCTGGTTAGGAACATGTTCCTTCATTATTTCTTCAAATAGGTTTTCAGTTCCT